GCTTCTGGCGAGCATGCTCGCTTCGGACACGATCCATGTCAACTTCGACGGAGTCTCCACTGTTTCCATTGACCAAGGGATTGCCGAAGGGGGAACGCTGGGTCCCCTGACCTTTCCTGTATACATGGACTCTCTCCCAGAAGCCTTACACAAGGCAGGCTGCGGAATCGGAGTAGGAGTCCGCGTTCCGTGCGCCTGGGTCGGCTGCTCGTGGCGGGGCACAGGCATGCCCGATCCTGTCCAGACCGCCGACCTCACCAGAACACTCCGCGAGGGCACGCAGCTCCCTCGGGCCGCGGATCTAGAAGCCGATCTTACGCTGGAGGCCTCTGCTCTGGCCGCACTGGATGCCACCGCGCCATTGCGCCTCGCTGCAATTCTACACGCGGGCGACCCGGTTCTGCTCTCTTCCACTCGGGGAGGAGCGCAGCTCGCGCAGAATGCTCTAGCCGAGTGGGCTTTTGCTCACAAAGCCAGTCCGCATACCAAGCCCTCCAAACACGCTGTTGTAGTGCATGGCTCCCCGGAGTCCCGGAGGGCAGGGGCGGCAGCAGCTCCCCTTGTGCTACCGCTCCGGGGAGGGGCGCCTATTGAACTAGGGCTCAAAGACACACACCAGTGGCTCGGGCTACTCTGGTCTGGTGACCTCGACTTCTCGAAACTGCTCGATGCAAGGCTGGGCGCCGCTTCCGCACAGTGCGCCTCCCTCGCGGGGCATGTTGCTGCCGGAGTCCTTCCGCTCGCTATGGCGGTTCGCATCTTCGAGACCCAGATCGAAGGCGCACTGCGCTTCGGGCGCTGGATGTGGGCAGTTGCGGAGGGGGCGTCGGACAAGCTTGAACAGAGCTATGGAGCGTGGGCGCGCGCCTTTCTGGGCTGTCCGCCCTGGCGAGGGCAGGCCCTCGCTCCCTTGGAGTTGGGCTGGGCTCTCTCCGGGCCTGCCAGGGCCGTGTACGAGGTGGCCTCCCGGCGGGCCGGTCTCTGGAGGCTCCCCGACGCAGATCTCTTCAAACGGGTTTTCCTGCAGGCCCACGGGTCAGAGGGCCGCACCTGGGCGCAGCTGTCGCTTGCCCTCCTCGAGGCTTGGTCCATCCCGGATTGGCCTGCTTGGGAGGGCATGTATGGAGGCTCGTCCCTGCACGCATACAAGGTCCACGTCCGGGCCCTCCTGAAGGCGCGGTGCGGGGAGGAACTGCGGAGGCAGGCGGGCGTGCTCCAGAGGCCGCTTCCGGTCCTTGCTCTCGGCCCAGTCCCCAGGACGGACCTGGCCGGGGCCCTCAAGCTAGGGTTCCCTTTCGAAGTGCTACTGGGCCAGCGCTCGCTCAGCAGGCTTCGGGGGCGGTTGGTCGCCCTAGGGCACTCTTCTGGTTCCCTCTCTTCGGCACGGAGGCAAATGTGTGTGCTCTGCGGGGAGCAGTTTCTGAGTCCAACCTTCCATGTTCTCGGGAGCTGTGGCAGTACGGAGTTCCCCAGGCGCGCTTTCTGGGAGGCCCGAGGGTGCACAGCTCCCTCCTCCAGAGAGGCTGCGGCCACGGCGATTCTGTCGGCTGCCCCGGCAGACGCGGGGTACAAGGAGGCGGCGCTGCTTGCGCTCCACGTGGAGAGGGAGGCGGATCGCTTCTGGGCATCCGCAGGCAACAATTACCTCCCCCCTCCCGCCCTCCCTCCCCTCTGCCCGGGGCACTGAGGGGGTTGTTTCCTGGTCTGCTGCTCGTTTTTGGGGTCTCTTCGTGGTCACGGCAGGATTCGCCTGGAAATTCTGGTCTGGTGTTGGAGGCTTCGGCTTCGGCATCTTTCGCCCCCCAGTCTCCTGGCAGGCGGGTCGGGTCGGGCTGGGTCCTCCCCTCCCTGGGGTGGCTTCCTCTCCCTCCTCCTGTCACCGTCCCGTACCTGCGGGGTACGTCGACCAGGCAGCGTGGGGGGATCGGACGAGCCCCAGGCAGGTGCTCCCTGCCTGGCCCCCCCCACATATGGCGGGGAGTCTCTGAGTTGCCTCTTCTGCTTCGCCCTGGCCGGGGTTTCGGGCGGAGGTCCTTGTTGGAACTGTGGGAACTTTCAAAGGCTTGCACGGTTTTCCAGGGTCGGTTCTGTGCGCCGCCCTCTTGACTCCGCGCAGGTCTTGGAAAGTGCACAGCTCTTACCAACCCTCCCCTCGACCCCTTCAGAGCTGGCGATCTGTCTTCCAGAGCCGTCGCAGCAAGGTCGCTTCCGAACCCTCCCCGGGTCGTGGCCCCTTGCTAAAAGGAAGTCTCGTCCGAAGCTTCCGCCGCCAGCTCAAAGGGAGCACACCATCCATCCATCCTTCTCCCCCTCCCCCTCGTCCGCCTCCTCCTCCTCCTCCTCCTGCTCCTCCTGCTCATCATACTCCTAGTATTCCTCCTTCATCATCTCCTCTTGGGGTATGACGGCTTCCTGAGCTCTCCCTTCTACTGCATGCTCCTCCACATCCCTGATCAGGGCAACTCGCCCAGGTATCGTTTCTGGATGGGCTGTGGGAGTTACGCGAAGCAAGTACAGTACATCGGATCATTGGGGAGAATTGAGAATCGATCATCGATGACCCAGGCTCACTGGGCCCTGCCGCCCAATTTCAGGTCTCAAGCACAGATCGATCCAACTCCAAAAAATGATGCAAACAAGTGGAATCCAGGCTAGGGCTCCGGTTGTGAGTTCCCGCAGTACTTCACTGTCTTCGGGCCCTCGGATCTCCAAGGAGCCCAAACCTGTGGCGTCGTGATCTTTGACCGAGGCTGCTGGTCGCGCCGGGACCTCCCCGGGCCTCTCCAGAACCCTCCGCGTGGCCGCGGGTGGCCTCCCCCCAGAAATCGAATACGGGATCCCCAGAAATCCACCCGTTCCCCGGGGTCGGTGTTTCATCCCGCGTCGCTTTCTGACGGTTCTGGCCTGGCGATGGCCTCAGACAACTAGGAGCAAACCCGTACTGAGCTTTCAATGCGTTGGACCGTTGGAGGCCTGGGCCTCGACGCTCGAGCCAAAAAACACCCCAGGAGGGGTCCGGGGACCGGCTTCGGAGCGCTTCTGCCCAGACCTCTGGCGTCGTGGTTTGCCCAGCGCCGACGTGCCTCCTGGGGGACCCCCGTCTTGGGCACCAGGACCGTTGAAGACCAGCCCAACTGAGCGACGAAAAGGCACTGGCGAAGGGTCGCACTGTTGCTCTGGCCCACCCTGCACGCACCAACGCGTGCACGTGCAGCGTCCGAACCCCGAGTGTTAGAGGTTGGACGGTGGTCTCTCTTGAGACCTCTTTCGGCCTTGTTGGGGCCTTCCAGGGCCTTCCGAACCCGCCTTGAGAATTTCGACGGTGTAGTTTTCGCACGACGACACAACGACCTCACGCGGTGGCTAACGCTGGCTGCCAGCGTGGCACAACACGTGGAGCACAAGGATGCTAACGCGCGGCCAATGCTCGGGCAGCACGCACGATGGGCGGGATATTGGGCGTGGGCAAGGCTTCAAACTTCTCAGAGGGAGGCTGCTTCTTAGAAGGCGACGGCCTTCCATCTATATACAAGGCTCGCACCTTCTAAGAAGCAGGGTCGCTCCTAAGAAGGCTTCCCCCCTCCCCCTGCCCTCCTCCGCGCGTGGCTGAGATTGGGGGAAAGGGTCAAGAGGCTCGAGGCTCGGAGGCTCGACAAAATCGAGGCTCGAGGCTGTAGGTTCCCGGCCCTGCGCAGGCCTTCGGAGGCCAAAGAGGGCCCCCAAAGCGCACAACCGTCTTCATGAGCCGTGCTTCCTCTACCGGGGGGACCGAAAACGGTATGATAGCAAGGGGTGGGGTAGACACTCAATTCACGTAATTCATCTTCCTGGCGCCTCCTAGCGCCGGGAGGCGCCCCTATACCGAGGAATGGGCCCAGCGCCGGGCCGAAATTAGCTGCACGCAGCAGATTTCGTACCCCCCCCTTTCCCAGTCCCCCCCTTTCCCCATCCCCCTCTTTCCCTATCCGCAGCCCAGCACTGCTGCCATGGCCTTTCCCAGGGGTGTCTGCTCATCGCACGCTCACTGAGGAATTTCCTGTGAAGTCTCCCGTCGTGGCCGGCCACGCTGGGCCGCCAAGCCGGGCCAGAAGGGGCACGCTCATACAATGCCAGCAGTTGGGTCAAGAAGCTCGCCTTATCCTTGGAGGCGGCCGGCGGGTCAGAGTCTGAGCTGGACAAGCCCAAGGAAAATATCGGACAATAACGGGAAGCGCCGCTTGAGTCAAATGGGACTTTTTGGGTGCATCAGAATGAGAGGCCTGCATTTTCCCATTCATCAGCAATGCGTCTGATCAGCTCCGCCACCGTCTTCACGCGCTGGCACACTCTCGGACGTGAGACCCGTGAGTATATACTCGATATCATCTGAGCTGGATCCCAAATCGTCCCAAAGATGAGGTGAGCTTAGGAGTTGATGGAATGTGTGTAGGCACGCTTACACACCGCAGTGCTGCATAGGATTTTGGCAAAGAACTAAGACAGACGGGGTGGGTATGTTCGGGCTTGGGATGTCATTCGTCTGCCTTCGGGCTCCATGTGCGGTTTTCCTGCAAAAACTGCAGACGCCGCGACCATGGCAAATGTACTGGTCGCACAAAGAGATGCCGAACATGAGCTGGGCACGCTTGCGCCACAGGGTCCCGAAGGCACACTGGTCAATTATATTTACATGCACCTGCGGGTCGTTCGCGAGCTTCAGAAAGCCTGGAACCCACCAGAGGATACTGGACACAGGATTCTCAACGGCCCAAGGCACTCAAAAAACGTGAATCTACCGAGTGAGCACGAGGATCCGCTGGGCCCGGTGGTTTCCTGTTCTGCGGGCGTCCAGATCCAGGTCCGAGAAGGCTTGTCGGGCTTCGAGACCCCCCGGGGCTCCGAACGCGAACGAATGACGTGGGTCCTGTGACGCGCGATACCCCAAGACCGACACTCTATGGCTATCATCACTGCGAACAACTTCTTGGCTTTAGCCTCTGCGCAGAGCAAGCTGATATTCTTCAAACGTGCGAGATCAAGCTCTTCCGAAATAGACCTGCCCCACAATCTGGTCCGAATTCCGCGCCTGCCCGCTGCTCGGCCCACGCCGCCAGCACCTCCAAACAGATCTGGTAGATACGGCGTCGCTTCTTCGGGGCCGAGCTCGGGATGGCGGGGGGCGCGATGGCCGAGGGCTCGGTCTGGCCGAACAGAAGGGGCCCGAGCTGGAGTTCGCACCTTCTCATGTGCGACGCCAAGGAGACGGGCAGCCTGTCGGCGCTGTCGACGATCCTTGCTTTGCTGTCGTACCTCAAGACTGACTTGTCCGCCTCCCACCTCGTTCTGCCCCTGATCACCCGGGTCCAAAACTCCGTGGCGGCGTGTATTGAGGCGCCAGAGCGCAGTGCCTGATAATACACGGCCGTCGCCCCCGCCCTTCGGCAGGCGGCCTTGAACTGGCGAGCGTAGCTGCCGCAGCGGAAGTCGGTCACCTTGGACTTTGGATCGCCGGCCTGCAGGGCCGCAATGGCCGTCGGGAGGCAAGGCGCCCAGCGGCAGCTGAGGCCGATGCTCTCGTCCGTCGCGCGCGTCTTGAACGTCGCCCTCTCTCTCGACGGAATGCGAAGCACGTCCACGAGGCAGAGTGGCCGTGAGCAGGGGCAGGATTCCCCCTCAACAGCTGCAGCGGCTGGGACGGCCCCCTGTAGGTCACCGACATGAGCAATTCGTGCACCGCCATGCCCCAGTAGTTGGCACGGCAGAGCCTCCGAAAGATGGCCGACCAGATGCTCAAGGCCAAGGGGCGGCGCGATCGCGTCGGACAACGGCGCCTCCATCCTTTGAGCGCCCGATAGCATCGGGAAAGATAGAGGTTGCCACGCTGCCCGAACTCGGGCAGGAAGTGCCCGAGCCCGGCGACCAGGTTCTCGCCCTTGATCAGGTTCTCGCCTTGGTCGAAGAGCTCTTGAAGCTGCCGCGCCACCGACGCGCCCGCCTCGGCAGCCGCGCCGAGGGGCTCGCCCAACTCGCGGGCCCGGGCCCGACAAGTGATCGCTGAGCCCCTGGAGACGGCCAGGCTCGACTGGTCGACGAGCCCGACGGACCTGCGGAGACGCCTGCGCATGGGCACTGCGAGCTGGCCGCGCCCGAACCTTCACGGTCTCCGAGGTCTTGTCGTTCCCCTCGCGCTTCTCGGTCGCCGCCTTGTCGCTCAGGTAGTCGAGTGTCATGGGGCCCAGGTCCGTCGGGGAGTGCCTGGCCCGCGACGTCAACTCGCATCCCGGAGCCTAGTGGCGAGCCGGCGTAGAGCGGCCTGCCGACGGCGCCGACGAGGCGGTCACTAGGTTCCTCGAGACCGCAGGCACCGTCGGAGTCGTCGTCACCCCCGCGGGCAGGCGTCCTGCCCGAGCCTTCGCCCGAGGCGCAAAAGGGGCCGGGCCCAGGGTCAGGCCCCCCGGCATCACATTTGGACGCGCGTGGAGAAGGCCCCGGATCGCCAGCGCAGCGAAGGTCAGCAGGTGAGCCCACATGTTTTACTGAGAAGCGCGCAGAAGGCTCATCTGCTATGCTCCATTCAGAGGGCACCCAGCGGAAGCAGACGCGCAGCCCCAAAGACGGACGCCAAGCTCCCATGCGTCTCATGCACATCAAGGACCTGAAGTCGGTAGCACGTCCTCGGGCAAACGCCAGGCACGCCCCCATGTTGTCAACCAAGATGAGCACCCGCGCGTTCCTGATCACACGTGCGCTCACCGCCGCCTGGAACCCCAAAAGCAAAGCTCTGGTCTCCAAGGTAAAGATGCCATCGTCGAAGTACCTCCAGGGGCCAACCACAAGGTACTCCAGCGGGCCTCCGAAAGCAGCTTGCGGGGCACCTCAGGAACCTCTTGTCAACGTCGTAAAGCTGATCGAGATCGTCGAACTCGTCGTCTGACCCCAGCTCTTCCAGGCTCCCGAAGAACCTCGCCCGAGCCGAAACTCCAGGAAGGTTCCGAAAACGACCTCTCTCCAGGACCCTCCCCACTCGCGCGACCTCCCCGGGGTCCCACTCCGAGATCGTGGCACCGAAGCCTTCCTCCGACGCACCTGTCGCCACGATATTAGGGCTCCAGGGTAAGGCCCAGGAGGCATCCATCAAGAACAAAGGGAAAACGCGGTCAACATATCCTGACGAGCTGTACTCGACAGAAGCATAGGTGTAGCGGAATACTTATTGATGAAGGCATGATGCTGAAAAAGATCAGGGGCTTCCTGACCAAGACGGCAGAGATTAGCTCCAGGAGCTTGCCCAGCGATGAACATCAGCCGGGTTACGTGGGATTCCACAGGCACCACAGTCGGCCAAGTGATCAGCACGCTCGTTCAGAAATTGCCCAGTGTGGCTCTCCATCTCCCTAAAGACAACATGACGAGCAACTTGATCATAGAGATGGCGAAGCCGCAGAACAAGCTGAAGATTCGCCCGCCCTCGGAGGTGCCGCTGCGCCACGCCAGCCGCGTACTCCGAGTCATACTCGATGACAAACGATGGTGAAGAAGGTGATGATGCAATGAAATCAACCACCCATGACAGAGAGAAAAATAACGCTGATAATTCACCAACATTGTTAGTATGACGTTGAGCACCGATGCAACCCGGTTGATCGGGAACCAAGACGGAAGGGCCACAGAAATCCAATAAGACGGTCGAAGCCGGCATGGCCACTGTGAAGCCCCAGCCAGAGGTCGTTTCCTCGTCGGACACCTACGCGGAGCCGTCGCAGGAGAGCGCGATGATGTCGGGCGCCTGGAATGAACCAAGAGCAGGCTGAGGAGGCAGGTGGAGTCCTCGAGGTGCTCCTCCGCCTCCTCCTCCTCCAGGGCCTCGTCCTCCTGCATGGCGTTTGATACGACGAAGAGGAGGGTGAGCAGCACGGTATATATCCTCGGTTGGTTGCGCCCGGGGTTGATCCAGCTCCAGTAGGACTGGTTTGCCCGCGCGGTGGGCCGCCACGGCCAGAGTGGCAATAGCATTCACACGCAGAAGATATTGTGAAACACATATAGCATTGAAGTGTGAGACCAGCAGGAAGGTCAGCTGGGATAAGCCCACAACGTGCAAGGCAAGGAGGAAGACCGGCAGGAAACTGGTTACCAGGAACTTGTTGATCAAGCCACGCACGAACGTCGCGATTGCAAGGACAATGCCATAGACGATGTTCGGTAGTTTCCACTGCAGTGCCGCATCGTACACAGAATTCATCGCCCCCGTGGTAAGGGACGCGTGAAATATGAAGCCGTGTCCACAAACCTGCAGAGGTGAGGGCAGGCCCTCCGTAATGTAGTTGTGCAGCGTAAAGATGTTCACGGGCGTCGCGGTTCTCGGTGAGACCGTTGAACAGACCGCCGAAATCTTTGGGCCGCCGTTGTGCTTCGCTGCGAGCAAGGGCAAAACGAAGAAAATCACGTAGGTCATGAAGCCGTGCTTGCACCCGAACTCGTGGACAGAGGCCCGGATAAGCATCCCGACCAGCATCGGCAAGATGTTCAGGCCGCATGGTAAATGCAAACTTGCGCGCACCAGCTTTGAAAGCGGTGGAAGAATACCAGTCGATCTGCAGTGTGGAACACGCACGAGATAGCAGCTTGATGGGGCCCGAAGCGTATCCGGCTACGTTGAGCCCATAGAAACTGCCACTCCGCTGGGTGAAGAATGCCTGCCAGGAAGCCACGGTGGAATCACCGAACACTGGTGTAGATAGCCACGCACCCCAAGTGAGTCCTGTGACAACAAGACCCAAGAAGATGTGTGAGCTCCCTTGAACGGCGCACGGTGCGACCTCAGGGCACATTGCCCATGAGGGCAAATGCCGCCCAGGAACACGCTTGTCGAAGATCCCGGACGGCGTGCGCATAGCCTCCGTCACACCAGACAGCAGAAAGGGCATCTGCGACTGCCGCGCCTCGTTGAAAGTGCGGCAGAACGCGGGCGACGTGTAGCCGGCTGCGGAGCTGCTGAACGCGGCGACCGGCCACTGGAGCAGAAGTCGGCTCGCCGAGCACCAAGTCGATGCCAAGGTACCGAAAACTCGTCCGAAGAGGTATCGCACGAAGACTTCTTTCAGAACATCGGGGGGCCCTGCGGCCCGCGGGAACGACGACGCCGCGAGCACAGTTGGGTAAGTTGAGATCAGGTCCAATCGCCAGGTCGATTTGCTGGGTAGCCTCGAGCACGCGCGCCATCTGCTGCCATGACGTGACCAGAACGAACCCGTCGTCAAGGTACGAGAAGTGCCTGGCCGACGGCACCGCCTGGACACTCATCATACTCCCATAAATCAAAGCGCAAAGCGTAAGATGACCCAATAGCACTTCCAACGCTCGTCCTGGAAGCTTCCGACACGGCAAGGCGCGCAGAACTGCCTGCCGCACTTTCCGCAGACGGGCGGGCGCGATCGCCGCTCCGAGCCCTTCGAGATCAAGATGACCCCCCCAGGGCCTTCGACGAGGTCACGCTCGCGCCATGCTCGTGAGTCACCAACCCCACCTCCTCGAATTGGCCCGCCGCGTCGGACAGGATGGGCGACGCGAAGGAGGGGTCACGCGAGAGGACGCCGAGGCTGTCAACATATATATAGCGGCAGACACTGGAGCCCTTCCAAACAGCCCCCTCCTCTTTAAGCTCCTCGCTCACCGCGAACCTGAACGCCCCAGGCCTCCCACGATCTCGAAGCAATATTGATCCACGAAGACCCGGGACTCCAGCCATGCGCTGCCCCCCCGCTTGCCGGCAGGAATCGAGGGGCCATGAGAAACCCATGGGGGGAGACGCCCAACATATGTCAACCTGGTCATCGACCCCCAAGACGGACCCACCAACAACGCGGCCCACGACGTTCAGCTCCCCGGTGGCAGCGGTGCCCAACTCAAAGAAGCTGGCCAGCAGCTCGGGGAGCCTGAAACGGTGGAACGCGTCTTTTACACCCGCCAGCCCCAGCGACATCTGGGCGCCACGAAGCTGGTCGGGGGAGAGACTAGAGTAGCCAGACGGGGGAGCAACTTCGATCCTTGCGAGGCTCTCAGAGGAACAAACATGGACTCCAGGGGGCTCAGCAAAACATTGGCACGACGAGCATCAATCATTAACCTACTCTTGCTAAAAAAATCTTCTTCACAAAAAAAAGCCGACTCGTTCCTGGGGCGACCCGGCTGCAAGGAGCGCGACCAGGCCAATGCGCAGAAGCGCCCGCATCAGTCGCAGAAACTTGCGACGACTGCGAGCGAGCACGGGGTCCCACTTGGGATTTATAAGGAGCAGCGACTCCTGTCGCTCCATAAAGTCCAGGGGCGCGCAGCATGCGCTCGTAGTTCTGCTCCAAAAATTGGCTTGCCACTGGGCCCACAACCTCGTGCACCATCGGGGCGCCCTCGAGGCTGTCAGGCAGGCTCACAGAGGCAACATTGGAGAAACTGGCAAGGTTGTGTCCACCGGGCTATGCATCGCACACAGCTCGGCCGTGCAGCAGCTCAAGGAAAGCCGCTCACAGGCTAGGGATCGCGACGTCCGACGTCAAAAGGGATGAGGTCCTACCTCGAATGCGCGCCTGCTCGGGGGTCCGAGGGGGCCCATACTCGGCCTGGTGTCGGTCCCCCGCCATCCAATTCAACGCCTTCACGGTCGCGTTGACATCAGCTTTCAGTCGACGCAGGTGGCCTCGCAGGCCAGAAGCCTCGGGACGGCCGGCGGGGGCGAAAGAAGGATCGGACAAAGGGGCAAAATGGCGGCGCGTTTCGCGCCTTCGTCGTGCGCCGCCTGGTCTGGGCCTCCAGCGCCAGCCTCAACGACGGCCAAGCCCATCACCCCGGCGGGACCTTCCCGCCCGCCTCGGCGCCGGCGCCCTGCTGGGGCTGCCCGCGCAGTCCCCCCTTCATCTCGCCCTTCGGTCCACCGCCGCGACCTCCGGGGCCGCCTCCAGCCAGCCCAGGATGGGTGACCTCGCCGCAGCCCGTCGGTGCCACACCCCGCGCCCTCAGCTGCATGTTCTCAATCTCCACCTCCTCATCGGCACGGCGGTGGGCATGAGAGCGGAGCTCGAGCGGGACGCCCGAAGCCGCAGTGGAGTTGGTCGTGACATGCTTCACCCTTTTCCCAGTTGGCAAGCCCAGGAACTTCAGTCGAGTAGTTAGGCCCCGATGATCTGGCAGGCACGTCTTGAGACCGCCTCGATGTACGCCACGGAGGGCCCGTTCACCTGATCGCAGCAACCGCTCAGCTACCAAATGTTGAGCAGCCGCTTCATGTCGATGCCGACGCGTTCCTGGGGACTCCCACCCGCCTCGCGGCTCCAGAGAAGATAGAGGAGACGAGGGTCACCTCCCCGGCGATAAATTTCCTTGAACAACGGCAGCGCTGTGGCAGGGCCCTCAGGATGCTTGTCCCGATCGCTGAAATGCTTGAAAGACACCGAACGCCATGCCTTGTGCAGCTCACCATGCTCGTCGTAGTTGACTGTCAACGTGCGGGCGTATTCTCCCGCTGGAGGTGTCTTGGTGCCACCGTCCAACGCGCCATCAAGTCGGCCCTCAAGGCCGCCGCCGCCATGGACGCCACCGTCCCACAGGCTCCACGCCGTCTCCAGTACGAGCTGGGCCACCTGCTCCTCCACGCGGGCCGCCGCCGCCTGGATCTCCGCCAGCTCCTCGGGCACGAGCTCGAGAGCCGCAGGGCCCCCCGGTGGGTCGGGCCCCGAACCCCCCGGCGCCGATACGCAGTCAGGGCACACGAGGGTCGGGCAGGCCGGCTGAGGGCAGCCCGGGCAAACCGGCGCGGGGATGGAGGACCCCAGCCCTAGCACCAGCAGACCATGCACCGCTGCCCCCGCCGCGGCTGCCAAGGGGGATCGCGGGGGGCCCATGCGAGCGAACCCGTGAAAGCTTGAGCAGATATATAGTGGAATACAAGGGAGCGGATTCATGTCGTCATTTGGCCCCTCAACCCCGTGCCCGTCTGCAAGCGTACTCCGCACTAACATAAGACAAGGACACATAGGACGGCGAAGAAACGATGACGAGGACACCGTGGATAGCGTGAGGATAGCGAGGACCGTGAGGACAACGAGTACGAGAAGCACAAGATCGAGGACGAAGGAGAACGAGGGCGAGTACGAAATGGAATGCGGAGGACGATGACGACGACGACGACGACGACGACGGAGGACAGTAAGAGGCAATTGAAGAAGGACGTTGAATCAGGAGAGGGTCCAGGTAACCCTATCGGGCTACCCTGGGGGCTCCTGGCACCGCGCGGGGTAGTTTGGGTGCCCCCGACATCGAGCATACACCGAAAGGTGTCTGAGCGCCCGCGTCGCCCCCGGGCGGCCGACGCACACATGGCATAAATATCTTGAATAGTGCTGATGAAATTGTAAAATTGCAAATCTCAATCCGCCGGCCCCCTTGCGGGGCCATCAGGCTGCGAGGGTTAAGCTTGCTGCTCCCTGCGCCAGTTCTAGTTTCCAGTTCCCATTGTTACAGTACTGCTTTCTGTTTCCTACTGTAAACTGTTACTGTCCGCGCGAGGGGGGGAGCCGAAAACTACCCTGGTTAGCGTTTCCCTGGAGAGTTCTCAGAATTCCTGGATGGTTGAAAATTTACACCCCTCACGCAGATCGGCGGGGTCAGGGTCCAAAAAACACTTCGGATTTGCCACATTTCTGAAATTCGGTGGCACCCCTCACGCAGATCGGCGGGGTCAGGGTCCAAAAACACAAAGGATTTGCCACATTTCTGAAATTCGGTGGCACCCCTCACGCAGATCGGCGGGGCCAGGGTCCAAAAACACATATTGGATCGGCGGGGTCAGGGTCCAAAAACACATATTGGATTTTCCGTATTTTTGAAATGCGGTGGCACCCCTCACGCAAATCGGCGGGGTCAGGGTCCAAAAACACATGGGATTTGCTACATTTCTTAAATTCGGTGGCACCCCTCACGCAGATCGGCGGGGTCAGGGTCCAAAAACGTTTCGGATTTGCCACATTTCTGAAATTCGGTGGCACCCCTCACGCAGATCGGCGGGGTCAGGGTCCAAAAACACAAAGGATTTGCCGCGTTTATAAAATTCGGTGGCACCCCTCACGCAGATCGGCGGGGTAAGGCTCCAAAAACATTTGGGATGTGCCACATTTCTGAAATTCGGTGGCACCCCTCACGCAGATCGGCGGGGTCAGGGTCCAAAAACATGAAGGATTTGCCGCATTTATAAAAATTCGGTGGCACCCCTCATGCAGATCGCCGGGGTGAGGGTCATAAAACACAAGGGATTAGCCGCATGTTTTACATTCGGTGGCACCCCTCACGCAGATCGGCGGGGTCAGGGTCAAAAAAAAAAACGGATTTGCAATCTTTCTGAAATTTCCTGGCACCCCTCACGCAGATCGGCGGGGTCAGGGTCCCAAAACACATGGGATGTTCAGCATGTTTGAAATTCGGTGGCACCCCTCACGCAGATCGGCAGGGACAGGTCCAAAAACACATATTGGATTTTCCGTATTTTTGAAATGCGGTGGCACCCCTCACGCAGATCGGCGGGGTCAGGGTCCAAAAACACAAAGGATTTGCCACATTTCTGAAATTCGGTGGCACCCCTCACGCAGATCGGCGGGGTCAGGGTCCAAAAAAACATGGGATTTGAAGCATTTCTGAAATTCGGTGGCACCCCTCACGCAGATCGGCAGGGTCAGGGTCGAAAAACAAATAGGTCCCGACACTGCTTCACGGCAAAGCCAAAGCCTCATGACTTCGCACTTCCATGGCCCATTCTCCGAGAGAGGGGGCCGGCGGCAGGGGGCGAAGCCCTTACGGATAATTATGTGGAACTTTCGATAACGGAACAAGTTGGGCATCCAGGTGCGCCTTGGCACCCGGGGCCCTGGCCCCGGGCCCGCCCACGCGGGCCATCCAGGGCGAGGGCATCCAGAAGCGCCAGACGAGCCCCGAAAACGCTGACGACGTCTTCGACTCCGAGCACGACCATGACCACGACCACGACCACAACGACGACATTCACCACCACCGCGACTACAAGGTCAAGGTTGAGGTCGACGACGATGCCTACGACGGTAACAACGACGACGCCGACGACGCCGACGCCGCAGGCGGCAGTTGCGACGCCGACGGCGACGATCAGGGCCGCAGCGCCGCGGCCGCGGCGCCTCGATAAGGGCCTGCGCCTCTTCCAGAGGCCGGCCATCCTGGAACTCCGCCCTGGGCGTGGGCGAGGGGCAACGACAGATGGGGACTGGCTCAGGGGGGAGACATCGAACTGGAATCGGCGGCACGTTGCCAACAGATCGGCGGTACCTTCGTAAAGTATTCAATGCTCCCTTCCACGTGACCAGAAACCCTCGCAAATTACGCTATACTTGTAATGCCGAGGCCAAGATTGCTCCAAGGCTCCCGAAGATGGTTCCAAAACAGCCCAAGAGGGCCACAAGAAGCCCCAAGAGCGCTCCAAGAGGGCTCCCGAGAGAGCCCCAAGAGACCAACATCGTCGACTTTACATAAATTGGTTGACGGTGTTTGGGGTTCTCGCATCTTCGGCTTTCCGACGCTCCAAGATGGCTCAAGAAGCTCCCAAGACAGCCCAAGATGCCTACAAGAGGGCCCCAAGACGGCCCGAGAGGGCTCCAAGATGTCCCAAGAAGCACTCCGAGAAGCCCCGAGCAGCGTCCAGGAGGCCCCAGGAGGCCCCAAGAGGCGCCCAAGACGCGCCAAAGAGGCCCAAAAGATATTCCACGAGGCCCCAAGAGGCCCCCAAGAGGCGCCGAAACCGCCTCCAAGAGGCCTCGGGAGGCTCCCCACGACACCCCAACGCATATACAAGAGGCCTCAGACCCACTATCCAGACACGGTGGCGGGATGGGCGGAAGGCCACTAGGAAAAGGCCAACGCCTCAATACCGGCTGATGATTCCTATCCGCCCCCGCATGATGTTTCAAGATGCGACAAGGCAACGCCGAGACGCACCGACGCGACTCTGATATATCTCATTCTGGTAGAGAGGGGGCCGGCGGCAGGGGGCGAAAGCCTCGCGGATACATTTCTATCTGGATTATCCCACACCAGGAAACCGACAGGGATGGACCACACCCGCCCCCAATAGAATCTGGAAGGCCCCGGGGGTCCCCGAGGCTCTCCTGGGCCGTCCCTAGGGGCCCCAACACGGACCAAGAAGGCTCCAAGAGAGGCCGACGACGGTCCACAAGGGCCCCGAGACGCCCAAACATCGCTCCCAGACTCCCAAGATGGCTCCAAGACGGCCCACGAGGCCTCCAAAACATCTCACCCCAAGTGGCCAACATCGTTGAATTCGTAGAGAAAAAACGTAGATTTCTAGCATCTACGACATTTTGGCCATCACGGCGTGGAGCACAGTCCAAGAGGCCTCCAAGCCCGCCCCAAAACAGCCCGAGAGGCTCCCAAGAGGCCCCCAAGACGGCCCAGGAGTTTCCCAAGACGGCCCAAGAGGCGCCCAAGGCGGCCCAAGAGAGCCCCAAGACGCCGCCAAAAGAGCCCGAGAAGGGGAGCCCGAACCAAACATTCTAGCCTTCCACCCCAAGCGGCCCCCACGAGGCCTCAAGAGGTTCCCAAGAAGCCACAAGAGGCCCCCAAGAGGGCCCCCAAGAGGGCCCCCAAGAGGCCCCCAAGACGTCCCCAATAGGCCCACAAGACGCCCCAAGAGGGCCCAAAACACCCCCAAGAGGCTTCCAAACTGCTTCAAAGAGACCCCCGAAAAGCCTCCCAAGAGATCCCACCGAACATCCAAAAGGCCGCATACCCACAACCCCGGCACGATGGCGGGATGGGTCGAAGGCCATTCGATCCGCCGCCCCCTGTCGATTCATCGCAGGGGTGCCTGGCGTGCTAGACCCTTCCGGTTTTGGTTTTGGTTTTTTCCCCAAATGAACTCCCACTGGGGCGTCGGCCCGTCCCGCCGGCCACCTGGAAAAATATTCCAGACCTGGTTGCAAACGGTCGTTCCTGCTCCAGACGGCTCCAAGACAGCCCAAGATGGCCTCCAAGATGCATCCAAGACGGCCACGACGGCCTCCAAGACGGCTCAGATGGCCCCAAGATGTCTCCAAGACGAGCCAATATTAACTCAAGACAGCCTCAGATGCCTCCAAGACAGCCGAAGACTGCCCAAGAGGTGTCCAAGAGGCCTCCAAGGCGGCCCAAGAGGCCTCCGAGAGGTCCTCCAGGAGGGCCCGAAGATGCTAAAATCATTGATTTTCCTTAGGTGTTTGAGCGGTGTGTATTTGCTCCCTTTCGGCCTTCCGACGACCCAAGACGGCCCAAGAGGCCCCCAAGATCGCCCCCAGAGCGCCCAAGAGGCATCCAAGATCGCCTCAGGAGGCCGCCAAAGACGGCCCAAAAGGCATCTGAGACGACCAAGAAAGCCTCCAAGACTGCCCTGGAGCACCCCAAGAAGGCCCTAAATCGGCCCAGAGGCCCCCAAGATGGCTTCCGACGGCGTCTGACGGGCCAGGAGCCCACCAAGACGGCCCAAGATGGCTCTAAAATTGCGTAAGAGGCTTCCAAGAGAGCCCCCAGGAAGGCCCGAAGAGGCCAAAATCATGGATTGTCCTTGAGTTTTTGAAGGATGTTGACGTTTGCTTCGTTTCTGCCTTCCGACGGCCCGAGACGGCCCAAGAGCCCCCAAAGATCGCCCAAGAGGCCTCCAAAGATGGCCACAGAACGGCCCAAAAAGCCCCAAAGACGGCCCTCAGGGGACCCAACGACGGCCCAAGAGGGTGGCCCTAATGTTGCCCAAGACGGCCCAAGTGGCCACCAAGAGGTCCTCCAGAAGGGCCCGAAGAGGCCCAAATCATTGATTTGCCTTCGGCGTTTGAAGGATTCTGGCATGTGTGCGTTTTTTTCGCCTTGCCCAGATCGCCCAAGAGACTTCCAGGATGGCACCAGAGCCACCTAAGAGGCCTCCGAGACGGGCCCAAGAGGGCCCAAGACTGCCCAAGAGGCCTCCATGCCGCCCGAGATGGCCTCCACAACGGCCTTGGAGCACCCCAGGAGGGACCCAAGTCGGCCCAGAGTGGCCCCCAAGTCGGTTTCCGACGGTGCCAGACGGGCCTGGAGACCACCAAAATGGCCCCGAGAAGCCCCCGAAGGCCCCCAAGAGGCCCCCAAGAGGGCCCCAAAGATGCCTCCAAGAGGCTCCAAGAGTGCACCCAGAGGCTCCCAAGATGCCCCCTCCTGCTCCTCCTCCTCCTTTTCCTCCTCCCTGTCCTTCTCCTCCACCTCTTACGCCGCCTCCTCCTGATCTTCCCCGCCATCCTCCCCCACGTGTTCCCAGAAAAGGGTTTCCATAACGGTTGGGGGAACACGTGGCCCGATAGCTTGGAAGAGCTCCTGCCACAACGTTCGGCCACAAGGGCCATCCTAGAAGGCAGGGGGCGGCGGTGATTCGCCGTAGGCGTCTTCGATCCGCCGCCCCCTGTTCATTCATCAAAAAGGTGCCTGGCGTGCTGGGCCCTTTCGGTTTTGGTTTTGGTTCTCCTTCCAACAGGAACTCCCCCCCGGGGCTTCGGCTCGTCCCGCCAGGGTCCCGGACAAACCTGAAAATGCCCAGGTGGTCCCCCCTGTCGCGTCCAAGACGGCCTAGATGGCCCAAGATGGCACCAAGATGGTTCCAAGACGGCCACGATGGCCTCCAAGACGGCTAAGATGGCCCCAAGATGCCTCTCTGACGGCCCAAGATGCACCCAAGACTGCCGAATTAGTTAGAAAGGGGTTTGGAGGCCCAAGCAGCAGTTTCACCTCAGGCGAAGCCCAGCCCCAGCACTGTTGTACCGTAGCAACGATAGTCCCAGTAGTAGGAGGCGAGCCATTTCAAGCAATGTGGTATCGATGGCAAATAGTACACTTCGCACTGAAGTGTAGTCAGATGTGGGCGGTCGACCGCTTTGAGCCAAGCGGCCGCGGGCGCACGCTCGCTCCCACTCACCTGTATCCCGAGCTCAATGTTTGTAGACTCGGGGGGGGGGGGGCGAAGCGTGAGCCCGCCGCCTCTATACAGCAGCTACTATGTACAAAAGGGCAGCAAAAAGGCGGGGCCGTAAGGAAGGTGGACCCGCGCGCAAGTTGTCTTGCCTGCACTTTACTGTGCATGCGAGTACTCCTTACGCGGTTACAGACCGAGATGTCAGGCCAGCCCGATAAGGAGCACGACGCTTTAAGTCATGCTTGTAGGAGCATGTATATGTCGATGCCCCCCTTTGTGTGACCGTCCGCGGTCATATCGCGGGTGTTACACCATTGAATACTGCGCACGATTCTTCGCTGCACCATCTGTCGTCTCCTGCTGATGTGTCCTAAAAGGGTAAACGCAGCCGGCTTCTTCAAGTCTTTGCTAGGCAAGGACTAAAACACAGACTCAGCATCTATGGCCAAAATGACCTTGATGATCAGGCCACCCAACTCAAGCATGCCTTTTCAACTGAGTGGGAGTTAGCGGCCCTGCATGGAGCTTGTGCAGGTGCACAATCGTGGGATAGCAAGTCCTCCAAGTTGTGGGCTGCGGCTAATGCCCCGGCTGAGTAGCTCGAGCGGACCTGCAAGCGGCGAGACTTGCAGTGCGCATCGATCAAGTGAACTACAGGCTTGCCAGATTGCGTGCTTCCACGCCGTAGCAGATCTTCCCCGTGAATACCATGACCTTTGACTTCGCCATCGGCATCTCCACTCAAGCATCGGTAACCTGAGTCGCTGTGCAGGTCGACTACGCCCGTGGGACTCATTGCTTGGTAGGATCTTCTTGGGGCAGCCCCGCAGTTACCTGGTCGTCGCGTTCAGTCGTCGCACCTGCATGTTGATCGGTTCCTGGGCACGTTGTAGAAGAGATCACATATACCAGCAACCACGCCTGGGCGATTCTTAATGCGTACGCCAATGCGCCTCTGAGGCTGACGAACATGCCTGCAACCGTCTTGGATGCTTGGGCGTCAGCGTCGGCGCCCTAAGTTCAGGATTTGTATAGGAAGGGGGCGTTTGATGGATTCGTCTTGGTCCAACGTAACAATGCCGTCCTCAACCTTGGTATTTCTCAAAGCAAAATTGGCGCACGTGTGCTCGTGGAGTTTGCACTTACCATGGGTGTCCTCCAGGCACTTGACGCAATTGTCAATCGTGTCCTCTGTGCCGGCCATATTGATGTCATCAACATGTTTGGCTGTGAGCAGATTGCTGAT